CATATATATATATATACACACACACACACACATATATATATATATACCCACATACCCTCAATGAAGCGTGTATCTCGCTGTCAAAGGTTCCTCCCCATATACACTCGCCTCCTTTACCGGTGTTGGTAGGATCTCCAGTCTGTATTATAAAGTCTTTAATATTCCTGTGAAACTTACACCCTTCATAGTAACCACTGCCGCATAGAGCAAGGAAATTCTCACAAGCGCGTGGGCATAGATCTATAAACAATTCTAACTTCAGGTCTCCCAACGAGGTAGTGATAGTTACAGACATCCTTCAAGTAATTCAGTTGGACTGATATGCTGTTATGGTATAGTTACGTGCAGATAGCAATCAGAACCATGTATGTTTCACCCCCCCCAATAAACAGTGTAGACGATATTGCACTTGTGATGTATTTTATATGTATGCACTACATATCCAGTATCCACATATGTGCATTTAATTGTGTACATAAATAAATATACGTACATTTGTATCCGTTTGTATTTATGTATTTAGTTATTTATTTTTGTTTTTTATATATTATTCAAAAAACAAAACTAAAAAAAGGATGAGACTGCAGTCAACGCACAACGAGAGTCAACACTCAACACCTGCCTAGTGCTAAGCTCAATGCGTTAAAAGTTGTAACTTATTTTGCCTCGAATACACATTGAAGTTGTAACTTTTATATCTCGATAGTACACTTCCATATATGATAGGTGCATTTTCCAGCAGTTGTGACAGTCGTCACAACTGCTCAATCTCTTTTGACTGCCTATTATCAATTTCGTGGCCTAAAATTTTTAACGATCGGACAGCTTATTGAGTGCAGTTTCCAAAATATTTTTCTAGTTGATTTGTCCTAAATAAAAGTTATAACTTTTAAAAATCAAAAAGTTAACATCAAAGTTGGAATTATATATTCCGTACCCCTATAACTTATGGAGCTTAGGTCTAGTGTCTACAGCCTATTTACACTCGACACTACAAGAACGAAGAATCCCAAAAGCACTAAAGAGTGTGCAAACGACCGCAGAAATGGGTTTCCAGTTCGGTATATCCATATCATGACTCACCTGTATTTATATATTTCTAAATGGACAATTTAAAAAGAGGCTATACTCATAGCCCTCTAAATTAAATATACACTATGCTCGGTTTTATATGTTTATATGAGTATATATTTTTTCATAGCCTTCGTGATACACAAAGGAAAATGTACGTATATAAATTTATAAAAAATACATATCATATTTAAAAAAAAAAGCCTAAATCAGACAGAGGCTAGTCAGGCTGCCTATTAGGCTAATAGCCCCTGTATGTATTTATGTTGTAGGGATTGTAGGCCCTCTACTTAGTAATTATTGTACAACAATAAAGTGCTCTTCACTCTTTTTAGTTTTTAGGGGGAAGTACGCTCACGCTCAACTCCAAAATTCTCGATCTATGTAATAAACTAATAATGATCTGCTGGGTCTGGGTCAAGACTCAAGACTCAAGACACTCAAGAGAGGTTGATATATATTTTTACATACGCGCGTTGGTCGAGAGAGGGTGATATATTTTTGCAGACGCTCGTGTGAGAATGGTATAATGTTGAGAAATGCTGGTTATATGCACACAAGAGGTCAATACACAAGTGTGCATACATAGTAGAAGGACAATACATAGAATTACGAATAATTACCTAACTAGATGGAGTCACGATATCGTATAGAAGGGTGCATACATAGTAGAAGTAGAAGGACAATACATAGAATTACGAATAATACCTAACTAGATGGAGTCACGATATAACTAATAGATTGATACAGACACGCAACCTGCACATAAATATTTAACAATAGCCATCAACTTTACAGTACATAT